TGGTGCTCACAGCATGGTGGCACTCACGTTGGGGGGTGGGGGGCTCCTAGCATGGGGCTGCTCACAGCGAGGGGGCACTGCCCCCGTGTTGTTCATAGCGGGAGGGTAGTCACAAGATTGGGGAGGCACCAACCTGGGGCACTCATGGCCTGAGGGGGGGCCCTGCCTTGGGGAGCACACAGTTGAGGGTGAGGCACTGCTGTGGGGAAGCTCACAGTTCATTCAGCCTCAGGATCACTTTCTCCTGTGCTATGGGGGCCCGGGAAGCGGTCCAGCCCCGGTGATGGAGCATGTCTCCCCCCTGCCCCCCAGCGCTTATAACCATTGATGCCAACAGGCTCCAGGGCTCAGCAGGGCCACAGGGTGGGTTTGATGCTGAGCAGTGAGCGGCGCCGCCCCCCCAGAGACAGGCCAGGGTGTCTCCGGCACACCCAGCCACCAGCACGCTGTGCAGAGCAGCCCTTCAGGGCACCGGTTCCAACCCAGCCCCCATGCGAATGGCCAGCAGGTCTCTATTAGCCCTGGAGCTGGTGGGTCTTAGCCCCATTCTTAGCAGACAGGTGCCCCCCCCCCCCCCCCCTGCCCGCTGGGCGGCCCTGGACGTGCTAGACGTGCAGCACCCTGGAGCCGCCCTCAAGGCCAGGAGCCCATTGAAAGGTGCAGCCCAGCCCAGCCCCCAGTGGGGGTTTCTCCCCTTTGCTGCACTGGCTCTCGGCACCCCCAGAGCAAACTGCTCTGCTCCCATGAGACAGGTCACCAGCTGGGGCAGCGCCAGGAACACACAAAGGGCTGTTGCCCCTTGGCTGTGGGCTCAGCGCGCTCACCAGGACGGCAAAGGCACGTCCCGATCCTGCTCTGAGCGACTCCAGCACTTCCTCTGTCTCACTCCACCCCTCCCGGCACTTCCCAGCAGCTGGAGAGACCCACAAACACAGGCATTTTACAAACAACCTGCCTTTACTGGCCCGCCCACAGCAGGGCTGGGACAGGTGCCAAAGGCTGTGGCACAGCAAAAGCGAAACACACCTGGCCAGTCCTCAAAGCAGCTCTAGTGGAAACAAACATGCTTCATAAACAGCTCCACCCGCCCCGGACTGACCAACACACAAGGCACTTACGAGCAGTTATCCACGCTCTGTAACCACTGCCGGGACGCCTGCCACAGGGACCTCTGCCCTGTTGGGTCCCGCGCCCTCGGCTGCGCTTCGCCAGACACTTTCGGGGCCTTAGGCTGCACAGCCTGGGATGCTGGCAGGGGCCACGTTTTTGTAGGGTTGCTGGAGCTGAGCACAATGGGTTGTTACTGGGGGATTGTACGTCAGAGCTGGGCTACTCACTCTATTTGTCATTGTAGGATGCCCTGGCCCGTCACTAGGGAGTTGTTATTGTAGGGTGCCCCGGGTCAATCACTAGGGGGTTGTTATTATAGGGTGCCCCAGGCCGATCACTAGGGGGTTGTTACTGTAGGGTGCCCCGGGCCAATCACTAGGGGGGTGTTATCATAGGGTGCCCCAAGCCAAATACTAGGGGGTTGCTGCTGTAGGGTGCCCCGGGCCAATCACTAGGAGGATGTTATCGTAGGGTGCCTGGGCTGATCACTAGGGGGGGTGTTACTGTAGGGTGCCCCAGGCTGAACACTAGGGGGTTGCTACTTTAGGGAACTCCTGAGCAACCTTTCCCCTGATTTTTTCTATCTGTGTGAGGAATAAATTTTGTTATGTGCACCAATGCATGTGCAGATGTGCACCACACATAGAAACACATGCTACCAGCCGCGGGCAGTGTGGAAGCTCTGCTAATAAGCTGGGTAGCGTTTGAATCTCTCCTGGGTGGCCACCCCGCACTCAGCTCACAGGGGACACTACTCCTGGGCCGATCCCTGGGGGTTCTATTGTAGGGTACCCTGGGCCCATCACTAGGGGGTTGTTATCGTAGGGTGCCCGGGCCCATCACTAGGGGGGTGTTATCGTAGGGTGCCCAAGCCCATCACGAGGGGGTTATTACAGTGGGGTACCCCGGGCCCATCACTAGGGGGTTGTTATCGTAGGGTGCCCGGGCCCATCACTAGGGGGCTTATTGTAAGGTGCCCCAGGCCGAACACTAGGGGGTTGCTGCTGTAGGGTGCCCCTGAGCAATGTTTCCTCTGATTTTTTCTATCCGTGGGCAATAAATTTTGTTATGTGCACCAATGCATGTGCAGATGTGCACCACACATAAAAACACATGATACCAGCCGCGGGCAGTGTGGAAGCTCTGCTAATAAGCTGGGTAGCGTTTGAATCTCTCCTGGGTGGCCACCCCAGCGTTAGCTTACAGGGAATTCTGGTGGCATCTCCTAAGACAGGGAAACCTCTGTCCTGAAGGCCACGTCTTCACTCAGATGAAGATCAATTCTGCTGCAATCGATCTTCTGGAGTTCGATTTAGCAGTGTTATCGTACAGTGCCCTGGCCCATCACTAGGGGGTTGTTATTGTAGGGTGCCCCTGCCGATCACTAGGGGGTTGTTGTTATTGTAGGGTGCCCCGGCCGATCACTAGGGGGTTGTTATCGTAGGGTGCCCGGGCCCATCACTAGGGGGTTGTTATTGTAGGGTTGCCCTGTGGACCTGGGCAGTTGATGGTGTTTCCTGGGTATTGGGACCCATCTGCGAAGGGGCCTTTGCAAACAGCTACAGCAAAGCCCTGGGGCCGTGGCAGCCCGTGCAGCGTCCGTCCCAACCCGTGTCCGTATTGCACTGCGCTCAGCGCAGGCGGGCGCTG